GGACGTGTAATCAAGGGCACAGCTCTTGATTAATCGTTCAATTAGGGTAAGAGTCATAGAAATTTTTATCTTTATTGCCTTTATTATATATATATAATTTCAAAGTACTAACAGTGCTAAGTTGTGCATAGATGGTGTCCATGTTCATGCTTTTGGTGTGCATTGTTGAGGCACTTGGACAAATAGAAAAGTGGCAATTGCTGGAACTATTAGATAGAATACTGAGAACTATCTGCGCTTTGAGTCAAGTCCCCTAACCAGTTCTAAAATAACTAAAGTATCAAAAATTATAAAAGACAAAAAACCATCATCATCATTACCAAGTTCTCTAAATCTATCATTCAATAATATTTGCTTTTTGAGAGACTAATTTGAGTTTCGCCGTTTTATCGTGTTATCTTTGTGTTGATGGTTATTTTCCTTTAATTCGTAAAGACTTCAATAGTAACATGCTTAGCCTGGGCATTCGCATTTGTAAAAATTCACCCATTTGTTGGAAACTTGCTTTGAATCCACAGACTATAATCTTATGTGCTTTTGTTTAGCACCACTTCAATATATCATCTTTCTCTTTGTTCTATATTGTTTCCTTCATCTCAATACTGCACTCTTTTCATTATTACTTCTAATCAAATTGGCGAAACCCATTCTATCTATCCTTCAGCCAATTTCGTTGTTGTTGGTGACTTTTTTAAAACAATTCCTTAATTTTTTTCGCTGATTGAAATTTTTTCACTTTTTTTCTATGGGTATATAAAGATTCCTTTGTTTAATTCTTACACAAGACTAATACAAAAAAGATTAAAAATCATTTTGAACAAATTTTTCAGAATTATTATATAAGCTTTCTTAAAAATTATGAATTAAAACTTATTCATAAACATTTTTGTAAATATTTATTAGTTAATCTTTAAAATGTCAAATTTTAAACTATCTGATCAAAATAAAAATTTTCAATGTAATCAGCTCTTAAAAATTCAAAAACACTAAACAAGAATTCAAAAAGTTATTGAGAGTTTGTATTGAAAACTAAATAATTTGTAATGTTGTTGTTATACATTTTTGAGTTGTTTGTCCGCATATCAATCCCAGAATCCTTAGTTTTAATTTATTCAATATTTGTTTGACAAAAGCAAAATGCTACCTTATTCGGGTGCAATCTCAGCAAAGAATAGCAAGGTGTAAAAATTAAAGTTATTAGTTTTCCAAAAATAAAATCAATAATAAAGAAGAAATATAATTTACTGTTAAAAGTTTCCTTGACTACATTATTATGTTTTATACTTTTTTTAGCAATAACTTTTTGTTTTGTTTGTAATACCTGTTGTCAGTTTTTTTTTTTTTTTTTGTTTTTGTTTTTCACAGTGTTTTTCTGTTATTATATTGCAATATATTTTGGTTATTATATTATAACAATTATGTAATTAATATATTTACTAAATCTTTATTTTTATTTTTTAGCAATTAAAAAAACATTAAAAAGACATAAAACTTTCTAAAAATCAGACTAAACATTAGCCTGGGCTAATGCTAGGTTAAAGTTTCTCATAGAAGCAAAATTTAAGATATAAAAACTGCTCAGTAATTAAACCACTCTTGTTTGTGCTATTTATAAAATGAAAAGACCCCGTGTTGAAATCTAAATACAAAATGATTTGCAGATGTAAACTTGAAACTTTTCTATATAAGTTCAAACTAATAGTCAAGCAACTGCATGGTTAGCCTAAAACTCTAAAAAACTTAGCCAAGCTGTATGCAGATAACACCAAAATTTTGAATGAAATGCTTTCCTGTTTTGTGTTTGCTTTCCACACAAGGCTAACCAAATGTTGGGTTAGATTAGAAAACGCTTCATTTGTTTAGATATTAGACTCCTGAGAATGAGAGTTTGCAGTATCAGTTTGATCACCTAATCAAAAGGGAGATTTTGATTTATTAGAAAGAGTCCAACATCATGCAACTCGATTAATACCATCACTCAAGATAATCAACTATGAGAATCATCTAAAAGCTCTCGACTTGACTACCATGACAAAAAGGAGTCAAAGAGAAGACATGATTCAACTTTTAAAATTCTTTGACAGTTTTAACGATTTGAAAACAATCAAAAAAATTAGTTTTCAACAAACTCAAACAAGAGGTCATTGCTTTAAATATGACAATAAAATCACTAAGCAAGTGTATCCTGAAAAATTTTCATATAATAGATCAGAATTTAAAGAATAGCTTGCTCAGCGAGTTGGTTAATGCACAATCAGTTAACAGTTTTTAAGCAGGTCTTGATTGCTCAATGAGCAATCGAGATGAGCAGCATTCAAGCAAATTGGTTGTCATAGTGTGTTAATAACACACTCACTGGCTCTCACCAGTTACAGCAATTACTAATACTAATAATAGTTGTTTTTATGTCATCATTACATTTTGTCAGTTTATTACTGTTTGTAACTGTAGCTATGTATGTATAAATGATTATTGTATAGAAGGCAATATTGATTTACAGTGCTGGCCAAAAAGATCCGACCACTAAGGTTTTTAGACAGAAACGTAATACCACTTCAATTTAATGATAATATGATTGAATTAAACACAAGACGTCGCCGAATGGTGCGAGAGCTCACATTCACATCAGGAGGCAGTTCATTGAGAATTTGTGAAGATGATGCCAGTGGGTCCTTCGTGGCTGCACGGCGGATCATAGCGTCAGTTTTTGATGTGGTACATCTCGGTCTGCCACTGGATCTTCCTGCAGCGCTGGTGCCTGTTGACTTGATGTGCTGAATGACGTCGTGAACAGTTGTCTTAGGCATTTGTAAACGTGCGGCAATCGCACGTTCAGACTTCCCGTCTTCCATCAAAAGTTGTATTTTAGCACGTTTTCCAGGTGATGTTGTCGCCATAGTCAAATGCAAATAGTAATTCACAGCTACGCATGCGATGGTATATATAACAATGGTACAACTGTTTTGATTGGCTGATAACTAGCCAATCACGCATGCAAAGCGTGATGGTGAAATTCCGAGGAAAGCGCCTACACTACAATGTACATACTGTATACATAGATAAACAATGCGTGGTCGGATCTTTTTGGCCAGCACTGTATTTTGATTGTTATAATTACTTATTAATATTAATTACTTATTATTATTATTGCTCTTATTATTATTATTGTCATTATCATTGTTATTATTACTACTTTTGTTATCATTATTGTGATAAATTAGTTTCTGATACTTTTACTTTATTAATGGACATATTGTTATACTTGTTATTATCGTTATTTTTATAGGTGTTACTTTATTATTGTTGTTATAATTACTTGGTGTCTCCCGTTCGATCACGCTTCTACATGAGTGACACTTTTTTCAAATAATTATTTATATTTATACTTAATAATGATATTATATTATGACTTTGTTATTTGTATTATTATTGATATTATTATTGTTATTATATGATTGCAAATTTAGAAAAAGGAAAATAAATATCTTGTTGTTTGTTGTTGTTGTTTGTTTAACGCTGAAATTTACTTTGAAACAATCTAAGATAGAAATATTTACCTGGTAATCAAAAACAAAAATAAAAGACCAAAAAGTTAAAACATCAAAATTTCCAAAATGAAACAGCTTTTTCCAATCCAACGCTGTCGAAGTAGGTGAATCATTCAAGAAATGACATGTTCGAAAGAGGTAAATGTAACTGGTGATGTAAAACTAATTAAAGAACGTACTGCTGAGGGCAACATAGATACCGAATACCTAGTCAAAAATCTTGTTCAGGATAAAAACAGGGGCTACATGGAAGAAAAATTGTTTGAAATTGATATTATTGATGCAAGAGTAAACTATAGCGATATAGGGTATTGACACATTGACTGATTTTCTAAATTATAGCTGTTTTTAGTTTTAGAGATAACAGAATATGTTTATTTTTAAACCTATTCTGTTATCTCTTCTTCTACTCCTTATTCTTCTATATTTATATGTGTGTATAAATGTAAGTATTTATATGTATGTATGCATTTTGTGTATATATTTGTGTGCATATAAGAATATATGTGCGTGTAAATAAATTTACTTTTCTATGCATGTTTATTTGCATGCATATATTTGTGCGTATATATATACATATATGTGTATATGTACATGTGTGTAAATATGTATATGTGTGTGCGTGTGTTTGTGAGTAACTGAATTTAAAAATAGGTATAGCCTTCTCTTTATAGCACTCCCCTAAACTGCTAAACTGCTACTTCTATGCCCCTGTATTGTTGTTGCTTTGGTATTATTATTGCTTTTATAAATAACACTATTATTTTTGTTGTTGTTAATATTACTACTGTTATTATAATTAATAATATTATAATTATTATTTCTATTATTGTTATTTATTTTTAATAATTGAATTATACCATCATCGGTAAATATATATATATATATATATATATATATATATATATATATATATATATATATATATATATATATATATATATATATATATAAATTAGTAAAAACACTTATCTAATTTTTCTCTTCAACAGGCTGTTTCACCATCGAATGGCTCATCAGGAAGCTGATGAGCCGTTCACAATAATTTATTATTGCTCTGTTCTTTAAGAACATTGAGCACTCTATTTGTAGAATACACTAACATAATTTATATATATATATATATATATATATATATATATATATATGTATATATATATATATATATATATATATATATATATATATATATATATATATATATATATATATATATATATATTAATTAGTAGAAAATCACTTAACAATCTTTTTTCATTTTACAGTGTTTCATCAATTAAGACTCATCAGAACTTTTCTGATGAGTCTTAATTGATATATATATATATATGTAAGTTAATAAAATGAAAATGTATATATATAGTATATATATTTTTATATATATTATATATATTATAAAAATATTATATTATATATATTTTAAAAATATATATGGATTGACTGATCATTTAGAGACATTGAATTCACCAGAAACTGCTGACAAGAAAGGTAGTTATAGTATTTGGTTTATTTAAAATTACTCAACATTACATAAAAAGTGTGATAAAATTACAGTGTTGTAAGAATATTATGAATCATAGTTTATTTTTTTTTTAATGTTCTTTTAATTAAAAATAAATTTCTCTTATTTTCTATAAAACTTAAAATTTAAATTGAACTTTTAAAAATTTTTTCAATTTATGGGGGTTACTTGGGGAAATGATTTAAGCGTGACTTATTAAAGGGGAGAATGTTATAACTAAAAAATTAATAACATTTTTTTTAAATTAAAATTTTGCCTTATAAATTTGCAAATAGTCACACATGAGCAGTGAATGCCTCAGAAAATGAAACTTACATAAAAGAGAATTATTTTTTGAACAAAGCATATTTAGAGAGTTGTCAAGACAAAAATAAAGATTAATATTAGGAAAGTTAAAATAATTCTAATGACAAAAGTTAGACAGGCAAAGCACCCAAACAATAGTTGAAAATATAAAAAACTACATAACTTTTTATAAAAAGTAAAAATGAAAAAAAATATACACCAAATGTTATTCACCAAATTAAAATGTATAAAATAAAAAAATTAATTGCAAAATCAAAAGCTGGTTTTTTAATATCTAGTTTATCCTGTCAGATAAATGTCATTGTCTTCTTGTATTTTTTCTCCCTCCTAACTGCATAGCATTCTCATTTTCCCAATTTTCCAACACCATTTCATACATCACTAGCTTTCTTAAACATTGCACAGAACACAATCTGAGTCACTACAGGTTGGTACACTGGTTCAGGGTGTGTATTAGAGAGATTCCATTCCATGCACAGTTATTTTATCCATCATAGATTCCTGGAGGTAGTATGACTACATTGTCCAATAGCTCTTTACAATGACCCCAAATCAAAGCATTCCCTGGTGTCTTATGTCAGAGGTTCTCCATGCATAGGTGTCTAATCTATTGTGGATTTTTTGATGTATGACTGGTACTTCCCACATTTTTCTAGGTTTATGTTCACCCTTGTAATTGGCCTCTGATTGGAATAGGTTATACATAACACTCAGCAAGGACTTAGACATGATACCAGTCTATCCGTTTACATTGAGGATAAACAAGACATCTGCACATGTGCAGATGTCTTGTTTATCCTCAAGCTACTTCTATTGTTGCTGTTGTCTTTCATAAAGTTCTAAATTTTTGAGTTGTTTAATTCCCAAAGTAGCTCTTGTTTTACAGTCCAGGTTGCTATGAGCATTTGTTTTTAAGTCATTTACTTCATTTGATGTTATTCAAATGAAGTAAATGACTTACTTAATTTTTTATACATATGCTAATTATTATACATATACATATATTGTTTTATTTATCCACTAGCAAAACATGAAGGAACCAGTCTACTGCATTAAACTACAAATATATATTCAACTCTTTCAGAATGAAAGATATTTTGTATATTTTATTTTTTAAAGTTTCCATCTCCTCTCATAACATTCCTATAGTCAAATATTTCGTATCTTTAGTTTTATTTAGATCTATTGATTACAGTGCAAGATTTTAGTGATTCTATTATCCTATTCTTTAGGTTGATAGGTCAATTTGTTATGTTTTCACACTGTTGAATCTTTTATGTTGTTTTTGTTTTCTTGGCGACTAATTGTTTTTAAGCTAATCAGATGTCTCTCAACCAGCAATCCTATTTACAATCTGAGATCTGTCTGATTTATTCACTGTTGAATAATTTTTATAGTTCTCTGTAAACTAAGTTACTAACTTGTATTTATACTCATATTGGTGTTAGTATTTGTTGCACTTTGCAAACAGAGTTTGGTATACTTTTGGCCTGTATACAGGTAGACAATGTAATTAGTTAACATTTTTTTTTATTTGTTTTTTTATTTTCCTTTTTTCTTTTGTTATTGTTTCTTATTCTTCTATCTTTTTTTGTTACCACTTGTATTTTATCTGTCTTATATGTATTTAATGTATTTTCTTTCTTTATTCCTTTGTTTTCTACAAATATATTGGTGTAGCACAAAATCAGGAGGGTGTTTGGGTGTTTGGCTTTTCCGTAGTAAGGTCTGTTTTATTGCAATAATGACTGATATGATGTAGGCTACATTGTCTTACGTATGTGTGACAATGTATACATATGATGGTAGGCTACATCGTCAACATATGCTTTACCCGACAACTTATGCCTATTTCATACTGCAGCAAAATGGACTCACTACAAATAACCTAAACCCAACCACACCCAAATTCGTAAAGCACCAATATTTTTTGATGAAATGATAAAATGAGTGTAGATCCACTACACAATATAATATATGGGTATAAAATAAGTTTATAATAATATTTATTTATATAAGTAAAAATAACTAAATTAAACAACTTACCATACTCTGGTAGAAAGTATGCAAACAATAATAAAATAACAATTCCAACAAAAACAAATAGTTTACTATACTACTGGTACAAAACATTCAAGTTTAATAATATATAATAATTCCAACAGAAACTAATAGTTTACTATACTACTATAGTATTCCAACAGAAACACAAAAACTACTAAAATAAAAACGTAAATAAAAAATAAAATTCCCCTTCAAAAATTAAATAGGTATTTTTACTATAAAAAGACCCACATACTAGGCAATAAAAAACAATATACCAAACTTTTGAACTTTGATAGAAAGATTAAAAAGGTGTGAAATTAAGAAAAAGCTGAGTTAAATTGTAAAATAAAAAGTTCCTCAATAGTACTAGTAATATAAAAACCAGTGAATAAATACTGTAATAAGACCAGGTAAATTTTAGCAAATGGGTAGTTCATAAGAAATTGTGTAATATCATAAAAGTGTGATACAAAAAAAATGGAAAGAGTGAGAAAATCACAAAAAATTAACAAAACGTTATTGTCCACAATAACATTATTTACTTCCAAGATTTAGTTGTGTGGGTTGTTCATTTTCTTACACTTAGTTTAGAGACCAAAATAATGTTTTTAAAAATAATGTTTTTCCTTGTATAAAGATAATTTTCATGTTTAACTTTAATTTTTATTTCGTTTTTTTAGATCAACGATCACAAAAAGGCTTATCTAAATGTGTTAATGGGGGAACTATTGGGAAATATTCTTCCCAATCAGGCAGGCAATTGTAGACAGACGTGGTAATCATGTCATACATTGCCAGGTCAAGTAGTCCATTTACTCTAGTCGATGAACCATGCTTCAAAGAAATGGTGGAACATTTAAATCCAAAAGTAATTGTGAAACATTCCTCGACTTTTTCAAGGTACAAGCTGCCATTGCTTTATGAAAGCGTTATGGATACTGTGCAAAACCTAATTGAAAAAGAAGTTTCCACTTGTCAACAGGTGGCTATCACCACTGATGGTTGGACCTCTAGGTCACAGGATCCATACATGACTCTTACGCTTCACTATATCAATAGTCAGTTTGAACTGAAAAAATATGTTCTCAACTTTGACAATTTCGTGGGAAGACACACTGGTTACTACATTAGCAAAGTAATTTTTCTTATGTTGATATAATTTGTTCTCGTAAATATAAATTTGTAAGTGCAAAAATAATTTAAAAAAGTACAACTTATCCTTCCGCTAGAATAGCGTTTCTTCTAGGATTTTGTCAATTATTGAAAGAATTTATAATTTATTGTAAAACCTAAAAGCTGCATAAGTTATCTTATAAATCATTAATTTTTCTTCATTCTTGTTTAAGGCTCTGGAAGAAATGATCCAAAAATATCCGGTATTGGACGCCGTGCCCAAGAAAGTCATTGTCCACAATGCGGCGGCAAACATGAAACATGCTGTGTCAATCATGAACAAAACAAAATATGAATCACTGTTGTGTGCAGACCACCTACTAAACACTAGCCTACTACATGCTACCAATGAAGTGCAAGAAGTCAAAGAATGCATAGATATTGCCACACAACTATCTAGCTAAGTCCACAGATCCACCTTAGCTTGTCAACTTATTGAAAAAGAGTGTATGTTGCTCCGTGTAAACTATGTTAAAATCATTGCTCCGGTAAAAACCAGGTGGAATTCTAACTGTTTTATGCTGGAGTCAATCCTTAAACTTAAAGATGTGTTGATTTCTCTTAGAGAAAAAGATGCACTAAATAACAACCCACTACAGAACGTTATTCCAAGTGACAACCAATTTTCACTGATGGCTTCACTGATGCCAGTCTTAAAAAAAATGAAGATTATGTCAGATTGCATGTCCAAGGACACTGAACCAGTGCTTCATCATATGCTAACTATGCTTTATAAAACTGACAATTTTCTTCATGACCACATTGATATGGAAAACAGAGAAATAGTTAATGCTTTTTGTAAAAAACTAAGTTAGCATTTACACCTAGCCACGCGATTCAATGAACATGGAAGATACAACCAACACTATGCCTTGGGAAACCTTCTTCATCCGTACTTTAGAGGTTATAAGTTTTATTTCTTGGTAAAAAAAACATTCTTTAATATTCTTTATTTGTTAAAAGACTAAATTTAACAGTTATTGTTTATGATTTCAGGATATATGCTTAGACATTACGGTATCTTCGAAGAGTTCACCAGAAAAGTCATCAACGATCATCCATCGTCGGACGCTGTTTCGATCAGTAAAAAAAATAATCATAAAGCTACACAAGTTAAAATGCCAGTTGGTGTGGATGAGTGCGTTGATTTACAAAATATAGAGATTGAACAGGGTAATAATAACCACACCATTAGTCAAAATGTACCGGAAATTGAAAGGGAGTTTGAATCTTTCCACGCTATGCCTCGTGTTGAAGAAAAGCATAAAGTTGATGTGCTGAAATGGTGGAAGAAACATGCCTCTACTTTGCCATTGTTAGCACAATTGGCAAGAAATTTGCTCTGCATTCCAGCTGCATCAAGCTGTAGTGAGAGAGTGTTCAGCGCCAGCGGTGGAATTATAAATGATAAAAGACACAGTCTTTCCACTCAGACAGCAAAGCAATTGACTTTGATTAAAGTCAATTATGATCTTGTCTGTCCTCACATGACCTTGAAAATTATAAGCGACGCTGAAGAAGCCCTGGACCCCCCAGCATTAACTCCAGTTAGAACACCTTCCAAAAATCCTATTCCTAAAGCAGTTTTTTCAAATAACCAAAAAAGGTTATTGTTCAAAACAAAAAACGTTTCAACAACGCCATTATGTTCTTCTTCTTAACCATCAACACCAACATCTTCAGGAATCAAAAGAAAAACAATGGAAATTCCAGAAGAATCCGAAACAACATCATCCGAAAAAACATCCGAAAGTGACACTCAACAAGTATTAAAATAAAAATGTTTTACTTTTTATTGTGAAATTTTAAAATCGTGAAATATAATTGTCTAAATAAAAACAGATTTTTCGTAAAAATCGCAAATGTGTGCTTAAATTGGTACAATATAAAAGTAAATTACTTTTTTATTTTATGCTAGCCGTATCTGTCGTAAAAACATTAGTATTTCTCGTAAAACTCAGAAATTTTTTGTTTGTTTGTTTCGTTTTTTACCGTTTTATTCGGAAAAAGTTTAATCTTATTTTGTTTCGTACCGGTTTTTTCAAAACAAAAAATGTGTCCCGTATTTATCACGAAACCAGAAGATTGTATTTCTTTTCGTACCGTATTTTGCGAAAAAAGATAAAAATTGTTTCGTTTCGTAACGGTTTTATCGAAACGATATTTTTCATCGTTTTGTTTCGTTTCGTCTTGTACCGTTCTGAGACGCAGACCCTTAATATATATATATATATATATATATATATATATATATATATATATATATATATATATATATATATATATATATATATATATTTATATTTATATATATATGTATATATATATATATATGTATATATATATATATGTATATATATATATATGTATATATATATATATATATATATATATATATATATATATATATATATATATATATATATATATATATATATATATATATATATATATATATATTAATTATATTTTTTTATATATCATCAATTGTTTGTTTAGGTTTAGCTAATTTTACAAGGGAATCTGAATTATGCAAATCTTTAATGGATTTTCACGAGTTTGAAAATAAAGCAATTTTTGTAAATTATTTTGTAATTTTTGTTTTTCTTGTAACATATGCGCTTCGTTAATCTAGTCGTTGTTTGATTTTTTGTTTTGCATCAAAACTTAACGACATTTTTATCCCGTGATTTTTACTTTTTGGATCAGCTTAATTAAAAAAGTTTAACATAATAAGTTGTAATAAAATTAATAGTCTAAAAACTATCAATTATTATTCTTTAGTTTTTTTTTCAGAAATTTATTTCAAAATTTGTGTACTGAACATCTATTTTGTCAGTCAGATGTCTTGAATCTGAAGTATTTCTTTAAAAAAGAGGTTTTTTTATGGTTCTTCGAAGAACCTCTCTGGATGATTTATCGGAACTCTCAAGAACCCTTAGGTTTTTCAAAAAACCAATTAGGGTTCTTTAGAGAACCTTACGGTAAGGTTCTTCCGAAGAACCCCTACAAAGGTTCTTTAAAGAACCTCTACGGGTTCTCCCTCAGCACCAACTTCAAGAACCATTTAAGGTTCTTTAAAGAATCATTCGGCTTTACAGTGTAGAGTATAATAGAGTTTAAAGGAGAATAGAAGTAAGAGTTGAAAGGAGAATATGCAAATTATGAAGAATACAGGAAAAAAATGGTGGCAGATAGTGCTTGTGAACGTATAATTAAAAATGAAGAAGATATCATTTTATGCCTTGAAGTTGATAAATTTCTTTCAGCTGATTATGGCTTGGAAGTGAAACCCAATTGTAAATAAGCAAGTTTATGTTTAGAAGGTATTCATTTGCTGTATTATTGTTTATATCCTTATTAACCTTTTATAAAAAAAACTTCTTTATTGTTTATATTTTATGTAAATTCTAAAGATATGAGATCAAAGTAGAGTGAACACAGTTCTGATGAAATCCAAATATTTAAAACGAATAAAGAAAAACAAACACATGCGATTGCTATTATTGATCATAACGCTATTATCAGAGATGGCCTTATAGTAGCAACAACACCTTTAAGTGTAAGAAAAGGGATTGGTTACAGCGATCAAACAATGTTTATTGCCTATGTAATGAACTACTTAGGAGTAGAAATAAAATTAAATAGAGAGATTGTAAGACAGAAGCGCTATGAAGCTATTGCACATTAAGGTATTGAAATACGAGAAAACTATAGAGATGAATTAAGAGGTAAAAAACTTGTTCTCCATTTTGATGGCAAAGTAGTTAGCCATATTGAAGAAAAATTGAAGCAAAAAATTAACTGTGACCGAATTGCTGTTTCTGTTACAAGTCCAGAATTCGGGCATAAAGATGATCTTCTTCTAGGAGTTTACAAAGTATGTAAGTACAAACAAAGTTGGAGTATTTTGAAGTACTCATTTTTGCAGTTTGTACTGACACTACTGCCACAAATACAGGTAGATTTGATGGAAACATTATTATTTTAACAAGAACTTTAAAAAAACCACTGTTTTGGTTAATGTACAGACATCATATTTACGAATTGCATATCAAACATGTTTACAAAGCTATAACTGAGATTAAAAGCTAAGTCCCAAATAATAAACTTTATTCCAACTTTAGGAAGCAATGGGAGGAATTTTTACCATTAATTTCTGCTCCTGATGCTAAATAAAGATTTAAAAGGTTTTCTGAGAATTCACTTACTTTTAGCTCAGGCATATACAATATGCATTTTGAAGCAAAGTGTTTTATAGAGCTTTCTTTGAATAACACAACTTTTCCAAGGGACAGTTACAAGCTTTTTGTAAAATATCTTGCTTTTTATTTTAACGTTAACTCTGATAAGTGAAAAGATTTTAAAATTTATCAACCCAGCGCCTGTCATGCAGCTCGTTTATGGTAGATTCCATATATCACCTAGTTCTTGAAATTACATCACCAGTAATTGATTATCTACATGAACAACAAAAAGAAAATATTTCTAAGATGTGTTTTAATTCGGAACTTTCCATACATATATATTTTTAAAATCTAGTCTTGCTAAGTATTCTGTTTTAAATAACTTTAGAGCTTTCAAAAATGCACAAATTGTACAAAAAGAATGGATCTTAAAGGTAGGTAACGCGCTGTTGAAGAGAATGCAAGTTCATTCTTGATACTTGTCTCCTAAAACAGTTATTATGGTTTTAGCTGATCACGTTCTGATTTGCAAACTAAATAAGACATTTTAGAAACTTCACTTCAGCATTCTTGAAATTGAAATTATAAACTTTGAAAAGCCAACGTTTTGTCGTTCTTAATAATAACACTTAAAAGATTTGATTACAGAGGAAAGTTAGTTTATTTTTATAAAACAGGATTTAGTTAGTGAGATTAAGGTTTGGTTATACACCATTCATACTAAAAGCAACTTATAGGACCTTTAGTCTTACAATAACTTTATTTTTTTATCAAAAACTTAACTGCCACAAATAATTGTGCTGAAAGGAATATTGGAATAATCCAATAATTTGTCGGCTCAAAATAAAAAACAACGACAAAATATCCTATTAGTAATCAAACAAAATTGCAATACTTTTGAGCTAAGTTTTTATGAACTTCTAAGTGAACATTGAAGCGTAAATTTGGATGTTACGTTGGTACCAACAAGAAAAAATATCGCAGATGAATTCACACGAGTGCCAAGAAAATGAGTAAAAAACAAAGTTGCAACGCAAGAATGTAATATCATTTATAAGCAAGATAATCAGCAGATTAAAAAAATTCATTCAATAGCACACATGGGAGTTTCCAAGAGTATGGAGTTATGCTTGCGTGCTGGTATCGACGTTAACAGAGACACAGTAAAACAAGTTGTTGCTGAATGTGATGAATTTAATTCAATTGATCCTAATGTGATTTTGTGAGATAAAGGAAATCTTTCTGTCAGCAAAGTGTGGGAAAGATTAGCATGCGATGTTATTTACGTTGATTCGTTGCTGTATCTCACCTGTATTGTTTGTGGTCCAAGCAGATACACGTTGTGGACAACATTAAGCATCGAAAGTGCAACAATGATTGTTCAACTGTTTGAAACAATATTATCATCGCTTGGAACTCCTTCCGAAGTTCTCCTAGATAATTCTAGTCGTTTAGGTCTCAGATTATGCAAGCTATGGCGTCGAAGTAGGAAATAAGACTTAATTATTGAGTTGTTGAAAAACTATCGGGAAATGGAATTGTTGAAAGAGTTCATCGGATAGTAAAAAGAACAAATGCGAGAGCAAAATGTGCTATACCCATGTCTGTATTCTTAATCAACAACGTTCCATCAAAACAGGCACACCTTTTAAAACCTTTTGCCAACAATACAAACGCGTTCGAGCTCTTGGAATCAATAAAGTCAAATCAACACAAAAGTTCCTGACTAAGTTTCAAGGATGGAAAGTTGGCAATAAAGTGTGGGTGAAGCCTAAGCATATGACGCCGTGTACACAGCAATGGTTAACAGGAAGCATAATGGCACTGCATAATGGTTTAAAAGCTGAAGTTGAAATCAACGGACATACGTTGCCACAACATTTTTCTCAATTTCATACCGTGATATTAGCGATGATTTTATTGTTTCCAATATTTCCAGTTTCGCCACCAACTCTTTGTACGAAACGTACTCTGACAATTCAGGTGCTGTTAATTCTTCCATGGTCTTGTAAATCTTTGACAGCAGAGGAGCAAGAAAGTACGCTACGTGTCAATTTGACGTAATATTGTTTATCACAAAGAAAGAACTCATCTGATAAATAAATCGCTTTGGCTGTCCATCTTCATATTGCGGAGATAATAGACACGTCCGGTAGCTTGTCAACGTATATAAAAGTCATTCTGTTTTTAATATTTTTATTACTTATCAACAACCTGAACGTTTTTACAAAAAAAATTGATCGCTTTATATAGCAAATACAACTTGTGACTTTTGTCAACAATTAATGATTGTTATAAAAAACGTTATAATAATAAAAACATGCAACGTGTGACTTTTTTCAATAATTAGCAAAGTTAATTACACTAGGGAACAACATTTTTGCTACCTGAGACCTATTAAGTGTACTAAGACCATTTTGACCTGCAAATTCCACATATGTCATTGAAAATTGTGCATCATGTCAGATTTCAAAGTTATATTGACATCTTGATTTACCATTTTAACACTTTATAGTCCTTAGAAATATTATGTCAATGCTTCTAAATTTCAATACAATAACTAAAATTTTTACGTAAATAGAAGAGCAAAAATAACTATACAGTATCATATGTACAAATAACTTCAGGCAATCGTAATACATTTTGAAATCAAAAATAATTAGATGATGTTGCTTTTCTTTTGTAATTAGTGTCATACTCTCGCTGTATAAACCAACAAAAATTGCCCATCATGTTGCTGTCATACCTCCCTTGATATCTGTTTTCCATCGTTGCTATTTCTTAGTGAAAACGTTCACCTTGTTCGTCGCTGACTTACCTAGATTGGGTGAAAAAAATTGATGTGGGAGTGCAAAAAGTGATTTTTTAAGGACATCCCTAATCCTTGTATTTTGTTAGTAATCTTTCAACCAACTCTTCATAGTTCTCAGACCTGTGGTTTCCCAAAAATTTAGAAACCACCCCAGCAAACACAAAGCGTTCAAGTACGTTCGACAAACGTTGCAAACGTTCAAATACGTTCTATAAACCTTCATAGAACGTTCTTGAACGTTCGCCAAGTTTGTTGAACGTTTTGTATTTGCTGGGACAGACAAAAATGCATCCCAAGCTGCCAACTGAGCAGGCTGCAGCTGTGTCTTGAAGGTGAGATCACGAACAACTTTACAAATTTGAGGTCCGGTGAACACACCCGTACTTATTTTCACTGGTTTAAGAGTGATCTTGAACTTTTCTTGAAGATAAGCAAAGCCGCCTTAATCCTTCAAAAATTTTTGAACTGTCCAAGCTATATGTGAAGAGAGGGGAGTAGTATTTTGGTAGGATCAATAAGTGACTCATGTTGTACATTGTATCTGCCAGAGAATTAATCAGTTCTCACTGGCCAGTATTTAATTATTTAATGATT